AAAATACAAAAATTAGTTGGGCGTGGTAGTGTGCACCTCTAATCCCAGCTACTTGAGAGGCTGAGGCAGGAGAATTACTTGAACTCAGGAGGCGGAGGTTGCAGTGGGCCAAGATGGTGCCATTGAACTCCAACCTGGGCAACAAGAGCGAAACTCCATCTCAAATAAATAAATAAAATAATCTTTGCTAGAATAATTAATTTTATTAACATTCCACAAAATGTTGTTTTTCAATTCTATCACTTCTACATTTATTAGCCGGCATTTTCCTTTCTGCAACTAGGGTTCTAATTAATATTATTTTATTTTAGTTTTAGTTTTTATTTTGTAGAGGCAAGGTCTCACTATGTTGTGCAGGCTGTTTTTGAAATCCTGGGCTCAATCCATCCTCCTGCCTAAGCCTCTGAGTGCTGGGATTTCAGGCATGAGCCATCACACCTAGCCCCTAATTAATATTATTTTTAAAATAACTCCAAGTGGGCCAAACTCAATGCATTTCAAGGCTGGATTTAGCTTGCTGGCTACCACCTTTGGATCTACAATCTAAGCTGGACAATCTAACCTATCATCACTCTGTACCCTGTGGTATTAAGCCTTTTTATTTTTATTATTTATTCTGAGATGGAGTCTTGCTGTTTTGTCCAGGCTGGAGTGCAGTGGCAGGCTCTCAGCTCACTGCAATCTCAGCCTCCTGGGTTCAAGCAATTCTCCTGCCTCAGCCTCTGAGTAGCTGGGATTACAAGCTCACACCACCACAACCAGCTAATTTTTGGTTTTTAGTAGAGACAGGATTTCACCATATCGGCCAGGCTGGTCTCAAACTCTTGACCTCAAGTGATCTGCCTGCCTCAGCCTTCTAAAGCGCTGGCATTACAGGCATGAGCCACCATGCCCAGCCTTTTAAAAAATTTTAAATAGAGATGGGGTCTTGCTATGTTGATCAGGCTGGCTTCAAGCAATCCTCCCATCTCAACCTCCCAAAGTGCTGAGATTACAAGCATAAGCCACCATGCCCGGCCTTTTGTTTCTAATAATCAATTACTTTGCAATTGTTGACATGTTGCTTGCAATCTTTTCAAGTCATTTTATGTGTACATTTATCTCCCTGGCTAGACTGTGACCTCCTCAAGGACAAGGACTCTCTTTCTTTCATCATTGTACTTCCTTTGCTTCTCCTAATGTGCTTTATTTTATTTTAGCCAGAGTCTCACTCTGTCTCCTAGGCTGGAGTGAGGTGGTGTGATCTCAGCTCACTGCAACCTCCATCTCCTGGACTCAAGCGATTTTCGTGCCTCAGCCTCCTGAGTAGCTGGGACTACAGGTGCAAGCCACCACACCCAGCTAATTTTCATGTTTTTATTAGAGACAGGGGTTTCACCATGTTGGCCAGGCTGGTCTTGAACTCCTGACCTCAAATGATCCACCCACCTTGGCCTCCAAAGTGCCGAGGTTACAGGCGTGAGTCACTGCGTCCAGCCTGTTTCTCCTAGCTTTTAAAGGTACTTTGGCTACTGCTAGTCCTAATGAACAAAAAAAGCATCAGTAAGAACCAGGAGTTTTCATTATTGCTGCTTGTGTTCCCTGGCTTTCCCACTAAAAGTTTCCTTAATTCTCTATCATAATGAAGTGCTTATCTTGTTTACAATAAGTAAACCTTTATAGTTTACTTGTGCTGTGGGAATCCCTATGAAAGGGTGTGGGAGGGAGGAAGGTAAATAGCCCTTTATCAGTCTTCAAAAGTTGGAAAGTCATTATCCAGCTGTGTGACTTTGGGAAAATCACATCATCACTCAGTTTCTACTTCTTCATTTAGTAAAATGAAATGACTGGGTTATCTCTAAAATCACATCCCACTTGGCTTGAACCTTCTAGGCCTGACTAGTATCTTTTACCATCACTCCCTGCTTAGAGGTACCCAGGTTCCCTTCACGTGGATTAGCACTATCCTTTCATGTAAGGTCAAGTGTAGGTGAAATGACACCCACAGTAAACAGAATTTGTCTCTGATGGCTCTCCTATCATCACAGTTATTCTGGTCTAATCTATACATCCCAGTAAAGATTTGCATGTTTGCAAAGTAAAACTTCAGGCCTTCACAACTGGTGCCAAGTGTGGATATTCCAAAGGCCCTATAGAAGCAAGAGACCCATTCTTAGGTCTTCCTCACTCTAAAGTAGGACAGGGCAGAGAAGACTGAGATTGGTTAGACTCTTGTCATAGAACTTCACCATAAGGGCTCTGAATGACCCCAGACCAGCTTTGGGGGCATGGGAGCCTCTAAATCACAAAACTAAACTTAGCTTACCTGTTCCTTCTATCTTCTTATTTCAGCCTATGCCTCTCCTTTCTGGGTTTGTTTTTTCTCTTAAGCCACAGGGTCTCATTCTGTCGCCCAGGCTGGAGTACAGTGGCACCATCAAAGCTCAGTACAGCATGAACCTCCTAGGCTCAAGTGATGCTCCCACCTCAGCCTCCAGCGTAGTTGAACTACAGATGCACACTACACCTGTATTGCAGAGTCAGGGCCCCACTGTGTTGCCCAGGCTGGTCTTGAACTCCTGGACTCAAGCAATCCTCCCACCTCAGCCTTCCAAAGTGCTGGGATTACAGGCATGAGCTGCAGTGCCTGCCCATGGCCATCCTTTTCCTCTTTTATTCCCTTCTTTATAGGTACAATCTGAAGGTTCTCATCCAGCTGGCTTTTTTTTTTTTGGGAGATGGAGTCTCACTCTGTTGCCCAGGCTGGAGTGCAGTGGTGCGATCTCAGCTCACTGCAACCTCCTCCCTCAGCCTCCAGAGTAGCTGGGATTACAGGTGTGTACCACCACACTCAGCTAATTTTTGTATTTTTTGTAGAGATTGGGTTTCACCATGTTGGTCAGGCTGGTCTCGAACTCCTGACCTTGTAATCCGCCAGCCTCAGCCTCCCAAAAAGCTGGGATTACAGGCGTGCGCCACCATGCCCGGCCCAACTGGCTTTATGTGCTTGGAAGTAAGTCTTTCTCTACATCTTCCTTGACTGAGGACACTCTGTAGCCTGATTATAAATGGCATCTTATCATTTCCCTGGCTCTGAAAGCTCTAGGTGGTTGAGGGGGAGACAGTCAAGTCTCTAAAGAGTAAGGCAGAGAGAGAACCATCATTAGCTTTCTTCTTTTTTTTTTTTTTGAGATGGAGTTTTGCTTATTGCCCAGGCTGGAGTGCAATGGCATAATCTTGGCTCACTGCAACTTCTGCCTCCCAGGTTCAAGCGATTCTCTTGCCTCAGCCTCCTAAGTAGCTGGGATTATAGGCTCCCTCTACCATGCCTGACTAATTTTTTGTGTTTTTAGTAGAGATGGGTTTTCACCATGTTGACCAGGCTGGTCTTGAACTCCTGACCTCAGGTGATCTACCTGCGTCAGCCTCTCAAAGTGCTGGGATTACAGATGTGAGCCACTGCACCTGGCCACCAGCTTTATTCTTGATAACCCATTCAGGCCTGTGGTAAATAGGGCTGGCCAGAGCAAAGAGCTGAAGACTGTAGTCAAAGCCTAACCCTTGTCCTGTGACTGTCATCTAAGAAGACAGAGTAGATCCATAATTCCTCCATTTCCCCCATTTCTGCATCTCAGCACCAGTGGTTATTGATTAAATCAGGTGGCAAGCTGGCCAAACAAGGTCTACCTTTTGCTATATACTTGGCAGCATCCCATGAATCTTTCATTGACAACTGTAAATACTAAACAGAAATATTGAGGAGGATTAGTATCCCAGTAAATAGGAAGAAAGGATGCTCTTGTGATGCAGGGTACACCTGGGAGCCTGCCAGTGATGGTGTTGGGGTGGCTGGGACTGCCCTTTTGTCATGGCCTGCCCTTATCAGCTGTTGTCATTCATTTTTCCTCAGGAAGAAGTAGCCTCGGTGGCAAGAACAGTGTTGGGGAGCCTCAGGCTAGGCCAATCAGCACAGACCTAGAAAGGAATGAGTCAGATCAGGAACAGAAGAGGCCAAAATCAGAGTAAGAAACAAAGGGTCAGGAGCTGGGCACAGCAGCTCATGCTTGTAATCCCAGTGACTCAGGAGGCCAAGGTGGGAGATCACTTGAGGCCAAAAACTCAAGACCAGCCTGGACAACATAGCAAGATGCTGTCTCTAAAAAAAAATTGTTAAAACTTAGCCAAGCATAGCGGTGCACACCTATAGTCCCAGCTGAGGTGGGAAGATTATTTCAGTGCAGGAGTTCAAGGTTGCCGTGAGCCGTAATTGGGATGCTCCACTCTAGCCTGGACAACAGAGTGAGAGTCCCAGCTCTTTGTTTTTTTTTTGTTTTGTTTTGTTTGTTTTTTCAGATGGAGTATTACTCTGTCGCCAGGCTGGAGTACAGTGGCGCGATCTCAGCTCACTGCAACTTCTGCCTCCTGGGTTCAAGTGATTCTCCTGCCTCAGCCTTCTGAGTAGCTGGGATTATAGGTGCACACCACCAGACCCACCTAATTTTTGTATTTTCAGTAGAATGGGGTTTTATCATGTTGGCCCAGATGGTCTTGATCTTCCGACCTCAGGTGATCTGCCCACCTCGGCCTCCCAAAGTGCTGGGATTACAAGGATTACAGGTGTGAGCCACTGCATCTGGCCAAGACTCCCAACGCTTAAAAAAAAAGATGTGGGGTTCAGTGGCTCATGACTATAATCCCAAGGTAGGCGGATCACCTGAGGTTAGGAGTTCGAGACCAGCCTAGCCAACATGGCGAAACTCCATTCTCTACTAAAAATACAAAAGTTAGCCAGGTGTGGTCGTGCCTGCCTATAATCCCAGCTACTCAGTAGGCAGAGGCAGGAGAATAACTTGAACCTAGGAGGCAGAGGTTGCAGTGAGCTGAGATCATATCACTGCACTCTATCCCTGGCAACAGAGTGAGACTCTGTCTCCAAAAACAAACCAGCAAACAAATAAACAAAACCTGATGGGATGGATGTAAAGTTAAGCAAGCTTATCTGGATTTCCCATCACAGGGTCTTTGTAGTCACTTATTTGATAATAATAATTCAGAAGATGCAATCTCAGCTGAACAAGCAGTAATTCAGTTTCAGAACATTTCTCTCTCCAACAAGGTTCATTTCTCCCTCTGGCACTCATTGTATGAATCTGAACTCTTTCCCTCTCACTTACAGGTCTCTTCTATGTATTTCCCAGGTCGGCTGGCATAGTCATCTTAGAATAGCCCCCAAATGTGGAATTTCTGTTCTCAGGAGTCATCATTTCCAGTATGAAATTCACTGAGTGACAGAAAACGAAGACTAAAGATCAAAGATTGCTAGATTAATTTGCCTAAAACCAATTCACCTAAAGCCAATTAGTCTAAAATAAATATTTATCAAATCTGCAGCATTTCAAAAGGATTTAGCAGATTCACCCTTTTACTTTTTATTACTGTTGTCTGTATAACCTTTAATTGTAAGTCAACTGAATATGCCTCATGCCTATTTAAGATATACTGGCATTTTAATAGTAGGAATGTAGAAGTTAGACCAAAGCATCAAAATCACATTGAACTCCATTACATTTTTCAAGGCATTTAATTTGTAAAGGAATATTGGATTAAGAAACAAAAAAAAATGATACACAAAATGTCTGCACCAATTATATTTATTGCTAGAAACTTTAAACTTTTCAAAAAAGTTTTTGAAAAGTAGATAACATAGAAAAAGACATCCATAAAGGTAGGAAGCAATCTCATCATTCACAAAGTGCTGCAAATTTGATAAATTTATGTTGCTGCTAATAACTCGGAAGTACTCTTGGATGAGTAGATATAAATCCTCGAAATACCCAAAGCATGACAAAAAACAGTAGGACACCTAAATGGATACAAACACACCAAAATAGGAATTGAGCTTTTGGCAAATTAGTCATTAAGTCATTCACTTTAAGCAAACAAGTTTTCAGTAAATTGGTTTTAAGAGATCTAGCTTTAGGTGAACTAATTTCAGGCAAACTGACTAGTACCAAACCAGTGTTTTGCTCCCTCCAGTTCCCCCCAACTCTAGTTTTTGTGATGGATACAAGCTGGGGCCACTCTGAGAGGTGGCAGGTGAGCTACTACTAGGAAACTAAGAGTGACCTGAGAAGACAGTAAGAGTGTGAGAGAGTGTGTGTGTGTGTGTGTGTGTGTATGAACACACCCATTACCTCCCCCAGCCAAGGAGAAGAGCAACCAAGTACAAGCACTCACCTAGCCTCCCCAGACCCACGTGAGTCCCTGAGAAACAAGGAATACAGGCAGCAAGCCCACTCAGAGCTGGTCCCCATTCTCAGCAGATAGATGAGGAGCTCTCCTAGTCCTTAGAAGAAGGCCAAGAAATAACTCGTTAATGAGGTTCAGAGTTTCTACCTCTTTACCCAGATACAGGTGCTTATGGTGGTAAGCACCTGGAAGACACCCTATCTGACACCATGTGTCACAAAAAAGTGAGGAGCTTAAATTTGGTTGCCTAGCAGGACCTCACCACCCTAGAATTGCCACCTCTCAGAGGGGTCCCACAATGCATCAACCACAACCCCAAAACTCTGGGGTTTGGGGGGCTGAAGGGAGCAATACACTTTGATTTGTTTCTAGTCAGTTTCATTGAAACTAGTTGATTTAAAGCTAGGTCCTCTACTCTTGGAATCTGGGACCAGAACATTGCATGATTCATAAACAATCACATACTAGGCCAGACACAGTGGCTGACACCTGTAATCCCAGCACTTTGGAAGGCCAAGGTGGGAGGATCGCTTGAGCCCAGGAATTCAAGACTAGCCTTGGCAACATGGTGAGATCCCATCTCTAAAACAAACAAACAAAATATATATATACTGAAGATACAGAATCAGATGTTGAGAAAGTACTGGAACCCTCCTGTGTGTACCTAAGCTCAGGCTGCACACATGGAAAAAAGGCCAGTCACCCCCACCCTGGTAAATATAAAGTTTCTCCTCCACAATCCATTTGGAATGTCATGATCTTTGGGTCTCTGGCCTTGGGGTCCTCCCCAGAGGACTCTTCTGCCAGGCCTGTAGAGTGCATTATTTGCCTTGGCTGGCCTCAGAGGGGCCCACTGGCCAGAGCAGTTTGTCAGCGGTGGTGACGGCAGCAGCAGTGACTGAAGCTCAGATATAGTTGGCAGGGGGCTGTCGGGCATTGAGCCGCTGCATGTGGCAGCCATGGCAGAGCAAGTGCCCATCCAGAGGGAAACAGCAGCAGCCTTCCTCATCACTCAGCTGCATCCGGCAGTCCTAGGGAAGAAGGTACCTAATTCACCTCAGCCCAGGCGCCTTGGACACTGAGGGCATCTTAGGAGTCTGCCCTGCTCAACACCCGACTCCTAGTAACTGGAAGAAATGATTAGGGAGGGAAGGTCGGAAGGGATGGAAGAGCAATCTGAGAAAATATTGATACCTCAGCTGGACACCAGGTGTCGCTGCTGCAGCAGAAATATTGACACAAGCCTGTCTTTACAGCAGTTTAACCAGAGACCCTAGCCTTAGAAAGTCCTGGCTCTGGGAGAGTAAGATTCAGATTCAGAAAGGACTAAGCAACTGGGACCAGAGAGAGTGGCTGGAGGACAAGAAAGAGACTGAAGATAGGTCACGGTACCTTTCTGGTTTCCCATGCCCTCCACCTCTTCCCAAGATATCTGGTTGTTGTAGGACTTGACTCCTCCCCTCTCCCCAATTCCACTTCCCCTCCAGCACTTCTGAACCCCAACACTCACCTCACAGTGGTAGCACTCAAAGTGATAATCCCGGTCCATGGATATCACCCTCACGATGTCCTCGCAGCCCTGAAACATGCAGATTCCCATGGGGATGAGAGCAGCATGTTGCCTCACCTCTACCCTTCCCCCATATACAGCCCCTCCCACCCCATGGGATCACACAAATGTCCTAGAGCCTCTCTGCAATCACCTGTAGCTTTAAGATGCCTCTGCAAATCCCACCAGAACTCTCCTCATCTCTTTCACTGGGCTGCCCCCATCTGTGCAAGAGTACTGGCCTTACCTAAGTCTTCCAGTTGTGGGGGAAGCAAAGGGAAGGGAAAGGGACAGGAGGCATAAATAAAGTAGGCTAGGCTGGGAACAAGGGGATCCAACAATATATGGTCCTCATCGGCTTTGGCTTCTCTCCATAGGCACATCCTGTACACATAGCTTAAATCATTTCCAACCCCCTCCTGCCAGTATTGAGGATTCTTCCCACCTTTTTCCAGCCCCTACATCTACAGTCTGGAGACCTCAACCTCAGAGAAAGTCTCCTCCTCTGAACTGGGACAGACGATATGGAGCCTGGGCCCAATTTGGCTTTCAGACATATCCAGGCCCGGATGTTAGGGTCAGGGTGGTGACCCCAAGAGGCAGAGTCACACGGGAATCTTCAGAGTACATTCCTCGGCACTATCACTTCCGGCGGGAGGCTGGGCAGCACGTCCCTATTCCCTCCCCAGAGACAGTGGCACTGGCTGTCCTGAAGGAGAACCCAGACAAACTGACCTCAGAGGGGAGGATGGGTTGGCCACAGGCTGCACACTTAGGAGCATAATTTCTGAAAGAGAGAGGGCAGAGATGAGCTCAGGTTGGGGGATCCCTGGACCCAGTTCCACACTGCATCCCAAGGGGTGGACTCACTTGTGGTAGTCGGTGACACAGTACACTTGGTTGGAGAAGTCCACTGTGAAGGGGATGCCATCCAGGCACTTGTTGCAAACAATGCATCGGAAACAGCCTGGGTGATAGGACTTCCCCATTGCCTGTAGGATCTGGCTCATGGGGTAGCAAGAGAATCAGTCTCCCTCCAGTCCCAGCTCTCCAGCTGCCCACTGTGCTCCTTACTATCCCATTAACCTCACCAAACCCCTGTTATCCTCCTAGAACAATGCTATGTAATGTGGGGGAAGTAAGAAGTTTTAAAATGGAGGCAGAAACCCTGAAAAATGCCTGAGAGAACATTCAGTCCAGTAGTTTTTAACCCTGGCTGCCTATCAGGATCACCTAGGGAGCTTTTAAAAAACATCAATGCTTTGGCCCTTCTCCAGACCTATTATCACAATCTCTGGTGATGGGACCCAAACACTGTATTTTTTTTTAGTTCTTCCCAGCTGATATGCTAGGCTACCATGACTGAGAATCGCTGATTTAATCCAATCTCTCTTTTTCTGCAGAAAAGAAAACTAAGTCTCAAGTGATTCTAACCAGTAGCAGAAAGGGGATGAAGACTCAGGACCCCAGGCCAGGCACAGTGGCTGATACCTGTAATCTAGCACTCTGGGAGGCTGAAACAGGAGGATCACTTGAGGCCAGGAATTCGAGATCAGCTTGGCCAACATGGCAAAACTCCATCTCTACTAAATATGCAAAAATTAACCAGGCATGGTGGCACGTGCCTGTAGTCCTAGCTACTCGGGAAGCTGAGGAACTAGAATCGCTTGAACCTGGGAGGTGGAAGTTGCAGTGAGTTGAGATCATGCCACTGTGTCGGAGTGAGATGCTGTCTCAAAAAAAAAAAAAAAGATGCAAGACCCCACACTCCTAGCTCAGGCTGGAAGGCCTGGCTGTGCCTGCAGTATTAGGGAGGGGCCGGGTCACAGAAGCCTGGGACGACAAGCTTTGGAGCCCAGACTTGATCCCAAAGGCAGAGGGAAGCCACTGTAAACAGTTGCTCTGGGGAGGAATGGGATGAAAGGCTTCTTCCCTCAACCTTCTCTCAGTACCCATTTAGTCCCTGATTCTACTTCTCAGCTGCAGGCACTTTACTTACCTTCTCCAAAATCAAGTGACCACAGACACAGCATTTCTCAGCTGCCTCCTGAAACCCTGAAAACTAAAGTAAAAGACAAGACAAAGGGAGGCTGTTATCAAACTGAGGATGATGGGTGGAACTCCAATAGGCCACCAAGAAGGGGATCAGGATGGAAACCAATTCCAGGTCCAGGTGACCCTTACTCACCAGATAATCCTCCTCACAGTACACAGAACCATTGACACTGTAGAAAGCCTTGCAACGCAAAGTTCGTCCTAGAAACAGCAGAGAAGGGGCTGGAACCTATCCCACAGCCCAGGTGCAAGACTTCTCCCACTCTGGAGTCCCTGCTCCCCAATGCTGCATAATATTTTTCAACCTGGACTTTGTGCTTGTCCTCCTTACTGCTGTCTATCCTTCTTCCCCACACAAAAATTCCATCTGATGCAATTCCAATTTGCTTTGGCTTCATTCCAGCCAACTTCCCCTCTCCTCTGCTAGTGGCTCCTCCAGCTCCTGCCTCCTCAACAGTTTCCTAGGGCCCTCCCCTAACAACCCTCCCCTAAACAAACTGCCTTCCTCTCCAGTGCATAGGAAGCCACCTGGGAGAAGCCAACCACATGCTGAAATACATGATAAAGGAGCTCTTAATAAGGTGCCATATGATTTGCATAGAGAGAATCACATTGTTACAGGCCTTGCCCTCTGGGATCCTTCAACCTAGAAGCCTCTTTGTCTATATCCTGCTCTCAGAGCCCTATCTCCTTCCATGGACAGACTCCACGGAGGTGAGGACTGGAGTTACTGCAGGAGGACAAAGTGCTTGGTTTGGAAGCAAAGCAGGTCCCCTTTCCTGTTTGTATGAGGCTGCTTCCCTAAGCTTGGAGGGACCCAGAATCTCTGGGGTAAGGGGCAACACAGGATCTTCTTCTAGCAGACAAGGCAGGACCATTCCCCATGTGACCAACACCCAGGAACTGCTCCCAGGTGTCTAAATTGTCAGGGATGGGGGAGGAGTGAGAACAGGTGGAGCATGAGCAATTTTCCCACCTTTGCCTTCTTCCCATTAAAATCCCCACCTCCAGCTGTGTCCAGTGGGTTAGGAAAGCTGACTTAGATGCTCATGAGACACAGGGGAGGAAAGACAGGGAAAGAGATATAGTTAGAAGAGGCCCTATAAACAGAAGGATAGACAGAGATGAGCCTAAAAACCAGGCAGAAACTGGGGGAGTGAGAAAAGCTGAGTGCTGGAGTCGGACAGGCAGATAGGAGATTAAAGGTTTAGCAAAGGAATCAGAATGGGTAAGCAGTGGGGAGGAGGTAATGAGGGAGGTGAGGGGGGGCAGTTAAGGCCGCTGGGAGCATCCCCCCTTCCCAAGTGGGCCTCCTGAGCTAACAGTGGCAGGCATTCCTGGAGCGTGATGTCATTAGCTTGGCATGGCCCGGTGGCCTGCACTCTAGTGAGGTGGCTGAACTCTGACCAGCCAAGAGAAAACCCCCCTCTCCGCCCCCGACAGCTTCCCACTCCCCCAGCCTGCCCCCGCCCTCCCTACATTCCAGTCTTTCACGGTCGCCCCAGGCAACTTGGCTGCCCAAGACCAAGCCCCACCAAGAAGCTGGAGGGCCAGGCGAGTCCAGGATGGGCAAGCAGGGAGGCACGAGGGAGAAACAGAGGTGAGGAAGGAAGGAGGGACTCTAGAAAGGAGACCCACCATGGGGCAGAGAGAGCCAGGTAGAGCGTAGACAGGGAAGCAAGAGAGAAAGAGCAGCTGCAGACCTCTAGATACTTGGTGGGGATCCAACAGCTGCTCTGTGAGCAAATGAAGAGGCACAAGCTCTCCCCCGTTACCCATAGCACTTGTAAGTGTGTATGTGGGCAGGGGAGGGGGGTGCTTGAGTGTTGGGGCTACACTCACCACAAGAGCAGCAGACAAAGCACTGGGTGTGGTAGAGGCTGTCCAGGGCCTGGCAGGCATTGCTCTGCCCATAGATGCCTTTGTTGCACTTGATACAGGTGCCTGAGAAGAGAAAAGAGTGTCACACTGTACTCCCCCAGATCAAAACCAGGGATTCCCAAGCTTTCCTCACTACTCTTTCCTGATATGCCAGGGGTCACAATCTCCCTTTGATGGGCCCCCTTCTGAGAAGAGAAGATAACAGGTAATGGAATACAGCAAGATCTTGGCTGAGCAGATCCATTTTTGTTTAATTACTCAACAGATACAGCACCACTACCTGAGGAAACCTGGAGAAAGTCGAAGATATGGTCCCTGGCATTTAAATGCTTAGTTTCTATTGGGGAGAAAAGACCACACAGGCAAGGTATGATCTCTGCTGCAGTGTGTGGGACGAATGGTCAGAAATGCGGGTCCACAGCAGACTTGAAAAAACTTTCTAAAGAAAGAAGGCTAGGCCCAAAAAGCCTCTCTGGGACTTCAGTTTTTCCCATCAGTCAGACAAGCTGCTGTTCAGTTACAGAATGATTTCTCTCTGCTGCAGACTTCCAAGGATGGAGCAAAGGACCTGGCTCAGCAGCGGGCTCTGTGCAGAGGGGAACCATGTGAGCATGACTCCTGTGGGGAGGTGCCTATTGAGAATGCAGGGTGTGTTCCAGGAACCAGTGTTGCACAGGAAAAGGGGGAGAGTGGCAAAGCCCCTGATTCCTCCCAGCCACCTTCTATCATGGGAGGAGCACAGAACTGAACTGCTTGCGCTTCCCCAAAATCCCCTGCTAAGATACTTATACCTGGCTCTGGCACTCGCCTTTCCTGGGTGTGTTCTTCCCTCCCTCCACTCCCCAATTCCAGGCCCATGAGTGAGGGCTAGGGCCTGTCTTTGGGGAGCAGATCCCAACGGGCCAGCCCCACCTCTCCCCCTCGGCAGGCTGCCACACTCCCTGCCTGTTGGGGCCCATCCCAGTCTTTGCCCAGGGGCTTGGGAGCCTGTGCAGCAGCTGCAGCAACTGATGGGCCCAGGCCTGTCCTGCTCCCACCCTCTGGCAGCTGGGCAAGGCTGAAGCCAAGGAAGAGGGCCCCTACTAGGGGCAGGAAAAGGAGGGTACAGTCAAGCTGGGGCTGGGGGACACAAGGGGTATGTTGGGGTTCTGTCAAAGGAGGCAACCTGACCCCCAGGGAGAAGGATCCTCCATCTCTGAATTCAAAATGTGGCTTCCTCATGGAAGTGAAGATATGCCCTAGATTGCCATGCCAGGGGGTCCTGTCAGAGCCATTCTTTGGGAAGCCTTGGACATTATGGGAAGACAAAACGAAGCTGCTGAGGCAATTCAGGTTCCCCTCCTCTAACCCAGCATATCTACACCTAGGTTCTTCCTGCCATTTTATTGCACTTTTTGAGTTCCTTTCTTCCTTTTGGCTCTAATGGTTCAGCCAAAAATACTTCTTTACTAGCCACCTCTCCTGGGCCTCAAAACGGCTAAATGGGGCCCGACATTCAGTCTTCCCTGATCAAAGTGGTTTAGCATCTTCTCCTCTGGGCTTTCTTCTCAGGGTGGATTTGGAGGTGGGGAAGAGAATGGGGGTGGAGGTTGGGGGTAGAACTATGCAGCACCCTTGTAGCCTGTAGCTCTGCTACCTCTGAACCGCCTACCCAACCATCCCTCCTGGCCGTGTTCCTCTCCCTATTCACTTTTCTAGCCACAGAGTTCTACAGCATGGGGTCCAGGAGTGGGGACATGGGTGGTGAGAAGAGACGCTTGGAAAAGTGAAAGAGGCCCACAGCCATTAGGGGGTAAGCCTGCCACTTTTTCTAATCACAATCAGATTAGAAGTTTTTTTTGTGTGTAGTACTGCCTGTGAATTTTGGCTAAAAGATCTTTCAAGACCCTAATGTTCTTCATAGCTAAGACATATACTCAAACAACACTTCATGAACAGAGTAGGGGAGGGAGACAGCGACCTGGTTTTCTTAACAGTAGCAGGAAGTAAAGCGCTACTTCTAGCCTGAATTCTGAGAGGTTATGGCCAGAATTGGAGGCCAGGTTATTTCTGGCAGTAACACAGGATCGTTATCCATCCAGAGGTAATGGTGTCCCAGTAGTCATGGCTTTTGCCATGACTTCGGAGGATAGGGGAAATAGAGGCTGGTACTACTGGGTCTCTGATTAAATGCCCACACACGCACCTAGCTAACAGGACTGGGGAGGGACAGCAGTTGGGTCCCTGCTTTCTGTTCCAGGGCACTCGCTCCATCCTGCCTCCCAGCCTCCATTTCCGCGACAGCCGCCACTACTCCGCGAGTGCAATGGAGCACCCCCCCATCCCCGAACCCCACCCCTCCGCCACACAGCTGCGGCCGCCCCGCCCGCGGGCACCTGGAGCGGCCGGGCAGGAGTCGGCACGCACGCGGCCAGCCTGCCCCGCCCCCCCACCCGCGCATTCTCTGAATTCCTGCGGGCGGAGCCTAGGCCCGGGTGGGGGCGCGGCGCGCACAAACCTCCAGGGGCACCGCAGTGAAGGGGGAAGAAAGATGGGGGGGGAATGCGCCCTCACTGCCCCACTTGGTCCCCTCCCTAAGAGGTCTCTTGCCGCAAAAAACCGAGGCTCCAGTGTTTGAGAAACGGACTCACGAGATTCCAGGAGGGTTGAATTTAGCAGAAATAAGGAGCCCTGGCTCATTTGAAACCTAGCAGGAAGGGGTCAGTGCTCTGGGGCCGCCCCCATCCCTCCCTCTACTTTCTTTTGTAGTCCCGCGTCTCCACCTTGGACCTGGGGAACCCCGGTACACCGGCACTTTGGGCCGTCGGGACAGAGGAGAACGCAATGTGATGACAGGTCCCTTCGTGTCCCTAACCACTTCTCCCACTCACCGAAGTAGTCCTCCCTGGTCTCCGGCTCCCGCATCCGGGCCCGGGCGGCCTCCGGAACGAAAGGACCTGGCGGCTCCTCGAGACCCGACGGCTCAATACTCGAGGGTTCCCCGCGGGCGCCGGCTTCTCGCCCACCAGTGCCCACCGTCAGGCGAAGCAACGCTGTAAGCTCGTCCTGGTACCGGGCGCCCGCGGCGCAGTCCCCGTAGCCGGTCACAGAGTGTCGTCCGGGTTGCGCCCCCCGTCTCTCCAAGGGCCCCGCTGCTCCCACTCCAGCCCCGGCTAGAGCTCCAGGACTGCCCAGAGCCGGGGGATACGAGTGGCGGCTTTCCTGGCAGCCGAACCCCGTGGGCCGCTGAGCGTACAATCGGTCCAGAGCGGCGTGGAGCTCCGGGTAGGCGGACGGGACTCCTCCGGGAGAATAGCCTGCTGGTGCTCCTACCACGGGTGGGCCAAAAAGGCACGGCCCCGCGGGCAAGGGGCTCCCGTGGCGCTGGTCGTAGCCCATGCTGATGCCGCTGGTGCGATTGCTGCAGGGCCGGCTCCCTCCAGCTCCGCCAGCCCCCGCCCCGTCCAGCAGCAGGCTGCCCCGGGGGCTGGACGGCTTGCTAGCGTCGCTGGCCGAGCTACTGGCAAAGCTGGAGCGGGGGCTTAAGGCCGGGGCTGCGGGTTCCAGCCGAAAATCGGGGGACAATGACTGAGGTAGAGGCAAGGCCCGGGTGGGTGGCGGCCCCCCAGGAAAGGAACCTTCGTAGCGCGGTGCCTCAAAGGAGCCGCGCTGATTTCGCTCAGCGTCCAGGGAACCTTGCTCCCGGGCCGGCTCCAACGACTCATCCCCAGGTCCCCCAGTAGCTCCTCGGGGCCCTGACTTCCTAGGTCCCCCCAACCCACTTAGGCGCCCCTTGCCCGGCCCGGGGGTGCCGTCGGACCCAGACCTGCTAGATTCGCCCTTTCTGCGGCCGAACTTCTCCAGCAGGCGACTGGCTTTCTCTCCTAACCGCTCCATGCCCTCGGGCCTGGGGCCTCTCGTCCCTACCCCGCCCAGCACCCTGCAGCGTCTCTGCGGCCGATTCTCTTTCCGTGCAGCCGGACTCTGGATCCCCAGGGGGACAGGGGAGGCACAGGGGCTTAGCTGGCGGCCCGGATGCCCGGCGCCAGGAATCGCACAGCATCCCCCAGCGGGAGGGGCTGCGTCCCCCCACGCATCTGTGGGTGAGAGGGGCTGGCAGGGCCTCCGGCCGCGGCTGTCCGGTCCGCAGGTCTATCTGTTCACGCGTCGACTCGCCCAACTGCCCCACTCTCCCCGGCCCCCGCCCCCCTCACTCTCACGCTCGCCGCAAACCGAACTTGTGTCCCAAACTTTTGTCTGCCTGGCCGGATCTACTTTCCTGGGAGGGCGGAGCGCTGTGTGTGCGCGAGCGCCGGGGGTGTCTGCGCAGGGATCGTTGGTGTGTGCAGAAGGGGCGCTGGCGCTAACTGCCCTGGATGTGGAGGCCCGCGGACTGGACGTGAGAGGCGGGCAGGGGCAGTTGTGGCAGGTACTCCTACAACACTCAAGAATTGGAACAGGAAAGAGTGTGGGGGGGAGGGGTCGGGGACTCTTTGTCTGCAGTTGGAATGCGCGGAGGGGCATGGTGGAACGTCGCGGTCCAGAACCGGACGATCGGAGTCATGTTCTGCGCTAGCACCGTGACTTTGTTCCCAGCCTGGGGACTGTGGGAGAGATGGAGAGAGACTGGCACAGAAATGGTGAGACAAGGAGAAAGCCATATAGAGGAAGACAGAAGAAGGCAGATGCATAAAGAGGTTCAGAGACGTGTACATAAAGACTACCCTGAAAGACAACCACGAAGCCCACAGAGGTGGAAGACAGGTAGCGAAAGGAAGAGCTGGGGAGCAAAGGCGCGTGTGGACGATGCAGAGACCGAAGGGTGCGCAAAGGAAAAGACAAGCTTGTGGTGAAACTCTGTCTCTATGAAAAAACATATTTTATAAATTAAAAAAAAAAAAAAAAAGACAAGCTTGTCCAGAGAGAATGAGAGCCAAAGAGAGAAACTGCAATAAAAAACTTTTGTGGACTCAAAAAGTTTTGTGATGGAGAAATTTTGCGTTTGTAAAAGCAGTGAAAAGGAGTGAGGAAAATGGGACTAATTTCTACCTTGAGAAGGAGGGAAAGAGATCTAGTGCAGAAGCAGTGAAAACGGGTGAGGAAAAGGTTTAGGACTAATCTCTACCTAAGGGTAGGATAGTTAGAGGGATAGACAGACACCCCCTGGTGTTTGGAAATGAGATTTTTAGCAAACGTTTCAGGTGACTATGGAGATCCAAGGCCTGGTTTTAGGGCTAGCGAACACCTTGCCCCGTTGGTTGGTCCACTGAAAACTGTTGATACAGAGTATTAACTTGAGAGGAAGCAAAGAAAGGCCATGTAGAGGAAATTGCAAGTGAAAATGATCAGGATGGAAAAAAGGCTAATAACTATTTTAGAAGGATCAAGAATAAGGTAAAGAAACCCTGGCTGAGGTGGCCGGGCGTGGTGGCTCACGCCTGTAATACCAGCACTGTGGGAGGCCGAGGTGGGCGGATCATGAGGTCAGGAGTTCAAGACCAGCCTGACCAACATAGTAAAACCCTGTCTCTACTAAAAATACAAAAATTAGCCAGGCGTAGGGGTACACGCCTGTAGGCCCAGCAACTTGAGAGGCTGAGGCAGAAGAATCGCCTGAACCCAGGAGGCGGAAGTTGCAGTGAGCCGAGATCCCGCCACGGCGCTAGAGCGAGACTCCGTCCCCACGCTCCCCCGCAAAAAAGAATCACTTACTTGAACTCGGGAGGCGGAGGTTGCAGTGAGCCGAAATCGGGACACTGCACTCCAGTCTGGGTGACAGAGTGAGATTTCGTCTAAAAATAAAAAACAAAACAAAAAAACCAGCCAGCTAATTTTGCCCAGACTAGTACATCAGGGACAAGGGGCGGAATAAGTAGAATGGAGAAGGAAATGACTCCTTTGTATTTAGATAGTAAATGAGTATGAAGATTATATGCAAACAAGTAATGCATATTATTTTCATCTCAACATTTTGAACACCTTTTATAATCTTAGAGTAGCCTTAGGGAATGTGGAAGGAGAGGAGGTTAATATCTTTTGGGAAATTAATTTGGCACAAACTATTTGGCTTCTTTGTCCTAGCTGCATTGTCTCCCTGACCTCATCTCTCCTGAGAATCAGCCTCTCTCTGTTTCCCTGGTCAAGACCATAGCTTTTCTAGGATCCTGAGGAGAGTTTCCTACCAGACTGGAAGCAGGGAGGACTCAAAGAACTAGTAACAGAGGGGAGCTATCAGATTGCATCTAGAACCTGATGTGAGTAACATCTTCAGAATTAACCGTAATGTTTTCCCTCCTTTCCTGTGTTCAGATGGGAAAGGAGAACCTAGATTCTTCCTTCCAATTAGATCCAAAATATCCACACGACTAGTAATATTTGGAAGCTTTGATCCTTTGGGGTGAGGATGGGAGAGTAAATCTTAAGAAACATTGAGAAAAGCCGGGCGCGGTGGCTCACGCCTGTAATCCCAGCACTTTGGGAGGCCGAGGCGGGTGGATCACGAGGTAAAGAGATCGAGACCATCCTGGTCAACATGGTGAAACCCCGTCTCTACTAAAAATACAAAAATTCAGCTGGGCATGGTGGCGTGTGCCTGTAATCCCAGCTACTCAGGAGGTTGAGGCAGGAGAATTGCCTGAACCCAGGAGGCGGAGGTTGCGGTGAGCCGAGATCGCGCCATTGCACTCCAGCCTGGGTAACAAGAGCGAAACTCCGTCTCAAAAAAAAAAAAAAAAAAGAAACGTTGAGAAGCCATTAAAGGAGGCCCATGCAAGTGTTGGTGGTAACAATGGGCACAATTGGGATGAACAGCCTGTGTTTTCAAGGGATAACTGGAAGCAGAGATGAGTGAAGGGGAAGAAGTTGAAGACACACAGGCTAATAGGGCATGCTCCAATAGTGCTCATGACCTCAGGGTGGCCTCTCCACAGTTTGAACTGGAGCTGGGATCTCCAAAGGCCCTTTTCATCCCCCAAGACTTTAATTATAATCTGTATACACAGATGACTCCCTAATCCATATTTCTAGCCCAGTCTTTCCTAGACCTAAAAACTCAACTGACTGCTAGCATCTCCACTTGGTTGTCTCAGAAGCACCCAATATCCTAAACTGATCTCATCTTCTCTGCCTCATGAAACTGGCTCCTCTACCATTCTCTGAGTAAATGGCACAATCCTGTTAGCTGCTTAAACTAGAAATCTGAGCATCAACCCTATGTCCTACTTCTCCCTTAACCTCAAATCCAACCAAGTGCTACCAATCACCAAGTTTTTTTGTTTGTTTTGTTTTGTTTTTTGAGACAGAGTCTCACTCTGTCTCCCTGGCTGGACTGCAGTGGTGCGATCTCAGCTCACTGCAACCTCCACCTCCCAGGTTCAGTGATTCTCCTGCCTCAGCCTCCTGAGTAGCTGGGATTACAGGCACGTGTCACCATACCCAGCTTTTTTTTTTTTTTTTTTTTTTTGTCTTTTTAGTAGAGATGGGGTTTCACCATGTTGGCCAGGATGGTCTTGAATGTTTAACCTTGTGATTCGTCCACCTCGGCCTCCCAAAGTGCTGGGATTACAGGCGTTAGCCACCTCGACCGGCCTCCCAATCACCAAGTTCTATTAATTCTGCTTCCTAAACAGATCTTCCAAATCTGTCCACCCCTCATCACCACTATATATGTCAAGTCTTTTCTCTCCCAAAGCAATGCAAAAGTCTCCTGGCCACGGCTTGCTCCCTGCAATACATCTTAGACCCTGAGGTCAAGTGATTTTTCAGTACAGAAGCTTTTCTACTTACAATGGGTTATATCTGGATAAACCCATCCATTATAAATTTAGAATACTGTAAGGCAGAAGCACATCTTCAACTATGATATTTTCAACTTAAAATGGGTTTATCTGATATAACTGCATCATAAGGAGAGGAGCATACCGAATCATTTTGTACTATCATAAAATTGAAAAATCCTAAGTCGAACCATCATAAGTTGGGGACTGCTTGTAGGCAAAATCGTTTTATTTCCCTGCTAAAACACTTTCAATGATTTCTCACTGCCCTTGGGCTGAAGTCTGTACTCTGTTTTATGAGGTGTCTCTCCCTCTCTAGCCTCTCCTCTAGCATTATCCCTTCCCCAATCTGGGCTGCTATAGAACTGGACCTTGTTTGTACTCTCTTTTGCCTCTGGACTTTTGTACCTGCTGTTCCCTATTTGGAACACTGTCTTAGCCTCCCCTTCCCTTCTCTTGGTTAACTCTTCCCCTTTTAGGTATCAGTTTAGACATTACACCCTCTCAGAAGAAGCCTTCCCAGACTGCAAGAGTAGGTTAGCTACCCCTGCTGTATGTTGCCATAGTGTACTCCGCTCCACCATGGTCACCTTATCACAGTTCATTTCATTGCCTACTCTATTGCCTGGCTTCCTGACTGGACTAAAAAATCTCCCAACAGCATTCAACCTTATCAACAATGTATCCATAGCACCTAGCACAGTACCTGACACCTAGTAAAGCAATCAATATTTGTTGTAAGACTAAATAAATATAAAGCCATTTTTGCTTTTCAATCCATCCAAAATGCACCCTTTCCTCAAAATGCAGCTTGGCTGACAGGAACCAAGAAATAGCTACAAAGCTGTGTATTTTGCTTGGTTACATAGTGGGAGAGAGACTGCTACTGAGACACAGGGACTCTTTAAGCCTTAATTCCTCATCTGTAAGATAGGAATAGTAAAATATTCCTCATGTAATTCAATAAACAATAGCTACTATATCAGGATGCCAATTCCCCAATAGTGATAGAACTTGTGTAGAAGACTGAGGCTCATGACTGAAACTGCCCACCAGGTGGCAGTATTAACCTGGACTGGTCCTGTTCCGCTTCCACTGCAGAGCAAGACCAGCAGTCATGGAAAAGCAACAGGTACAACCTGGGCTGCCTCCTTAGAGCTTTGGGTGGAACTGGGTAGGGGCAGAAACAACTCAGAGACAGGCATATGACAAGAAGGCCTCATGTTTCTTAACCTCCTCCTTTTCTCATCCTAGGCTTCTCCCAGACACTGTTTATGCTGAGGAATAAGCATTTTCTGGCTTACTGTTCACAGTAGAGGGAGTTCCTCCCCTTTTAGATAAGTTTTTATCCCACCAGAGCTTTCTGCTTCCATTTCCAGGACAGACTGTTAAAAAAAAAAAAAAGGCTGGGTGCAGTGGCTCACACCTAAAATACCAGAACTTTGGGAGGCCGAGGCGGGTGGACCACAAGGTCAAGAGATCGAGACCATCCTGGTCAACATGGTGAAACCCCGTCTCTACTAAACATACAAAAATTAGCTGGG